GGATATAACGAACTGTTTTTTGTCCATGTTGTCCCGGCTATTTGCTGTATATAGGATATATATATTCTTATTACGAACAACGGTTGTGACAACCTAACATTAGTGGTCCCTTTGAGTTTGTTTTATCGTAGTTTACTGTAGAAAATATATGATAGCACTAAGCCACAGGAAAGATATTTTATTGAAACCAATATTGTCGAAAGGTCAAGAAAATGTACCAAAAGTAGTTATGAAGACTTGAGATATCAAGTGGTTGATAATATGTTTGGAAACATTCCAAAATATCCAATATTGTTTTTCATGTTTTATCGATGTCTGTTTATCATTATACTGTCATGTACAAATGTGGTTTGATTTATGTTATTAGAAAAAAGTTGTGTATTAGTACAGTGTGAAATAGTTAAAATATAACTGTGAAAAGATGTATGAAACTGCATACGGTACTTTCAATATTTGGCCAAAAAACTGTCAAAACTGAGAACAAAAACTGTCACTGATAATGGTAAAATCTGATGAAGCAGCATCAGAAATTATCTACTCAAACGAACTGGTATTGCCAATGATGCAATTAAATACAAATTCAAGATGGATTGTCGGTTTAAAAAGGCAACATGATTATTGATTAATAATTAACTGTGAATGATAACTGAAAAATCTTAAATCCTCTTCCAGTATCCATGGTAACCTTTATTTAATAGTATTTTATGTACTGGTAATAAATCTAAATACATCTGCTATATCTACTGGGAAAAGTAACAGGTCTTGAAACATGTCTGCTTCCAGACTTTGGATGCTTTGTAACTTGATAATCACACAATTCCATTAAATAAACTTCGGTTACTGGAAATGGAAAGTTAATCAATCACCGATTTCATACTTGATACATTTGTTGGGAACAGAACTCAAACAACATCAATAAAATCAATTCATGGAACAGCACTAGGTATTACATAGAACATATGACACCACATATAGTATTATACATGCGTTGGGTTTTGGAGATTTGTTTAATATGTCATATTGACCAACATGTCATATTGACCAACTTACCATATGTGTAACATTGATCATAAGAATAGTGTGCTTAATGCATTATCAACTGCTAGTTGTGTGTGCACTGGGATAGAATTCTCTTTTAGACTAAACATTTGCCATGGTCAGGCCTATGTTGGTTATTAAGAACTTCTGTCTTATTTTCGGGGGGGGGGGGGGTCCATTGATGATGTGCGTGCGTGTTGATAATAATCTGTGGTTGGTGCTAATGCCTCAGAAAGTCCTACAGCCGCTTCAGTAGTTTCAATATCTCCATACATCTCAAGGACATTCAAGTGGACTACTGTTATAACTAGGTTAGGTCACAGCGACCTTATACATTAATAGGTTGGTAAGAGGTTTATGTGAAGTAAGTATTGGATAGTAATGGTTTGATGTTCAAGCAAATATATTTCTGTGTGCATGTTGTGTTATGACAAATTAACAAAGTAGGTCAAGTTGACCTATTTTCATTCTTCAAAGAGTCAGCTTTTTGAATGAATAACGCCTAGTTTCTTTCTCATGCCAATCATATACACAAGTCCATGTGAAGCAACTGTGAGTCATCAATAGACATCAATCTTGTGGTCCTCTTCAGTGTTGAGAAAATATGGCCATGGTGCATTGATGGTAATATGAAGGAGTATTAAAAAGTATATATATGGGTTAATTATTCATGATTTTCTTCCTGAAGATTACATTGTTGTTCTACCCCGAGTTGCCCATTGGATGATTACTGGAACATCTCCAAATAATTAGAGAGACATTATCTTGATAACTGGGTACCATATTTCCTCTAATAAGCACTGTCTCTAATAGGCAACTGTCTCTGATAAGAGCCATGTAGTTTTTTGGTTAACACCCCGCACAGTGTTTTGGTTACAATTTCATATTACTATGTTCGCGTTCACTCCATGTCTTGAAATATATTCTGTGACAAGAACATATAATTCTATTGCATGTCAGTTTATTAGTGATTAGCTAATGCAACACTGTAAATATGGCCCCAGGTGTCTAATTACCGTCAAGCCTCCATTACCCACCACATTTGGATGCGTGTTCAAAGAATATAAGCTTGGGTGGTTATTAGAGTAAAATGTGGTATATCTGATTCCTTAATATGGGATTGTGCTTGTCAGGGAGATTCACCACGAACAGTATTAACAGGTTCACTGTATTATTCCGTTATTGTGCCATAACTCAAGTCATTCCAGTTAATTGATTTCATCAATAATTGATTGGTTTCAGTTTCCGACAAGGAATATTTATTTCTTTACTGCACAGAGATAGTAATAATGGCATAATGTACTTCAGTTCACATATAATGCTTACAAAAACAATTATAGGCATTGTTTATTACAAGTAGTGGTACAGAAACTTGTTATGAATATCTGATTTATTTTTTATTTATTTTTCAATTATTTAAGTTAATTTTTAATTGGTTTCTTGGAGAACATAATATTAATAAAATTGAATGAGATATATATGTATGTATGTATGTATGTATGTATGTATGTATGTATGTATGTATGTATGTATGTATGTATGTATGTATGTATGTATGTATGTATGTATGTATGTATGTATGTATGTATGTATGTATGTATGTATAAAGAAAAGGCTGATAGCATTGTTTCAAGGCCTGTTGCATGGTGTTAGCAGTGGAACAACCAGCTTTAGGGCTCTAGTCCTTATAATGATAACATGTAGCAAAACCCATACAAAGGGCAAATTTCTACTAGTCCTAAGGATACCTTAACTATTGGGCAGTTTGGCTAGGACTTGTGCCAATTTCTAATGCTGGTTAGTCTTTCAGATTAATGTAAAAACTGTAAATTATCATTTATGTCATGTGCTCTTCTATTTTTAATTTTTATTATTATTAACATGAATAATTAATTGTTTTTTGAACCAATGATCATGAGGATTAATCTTGAAATTTCAACCAAACACTAGCCATGTTGAGCTAGGACGTAGTGATACGAAAATGCTGCTGTCACAATGTGAACCCTACCTGGCATGAAGACTTCTCATTAGTGCATAAGGAATGGCATTATCACTATATGTAGCCAGCTATACCACCTCTACTCAAGACTGTCTGCCTCCTTCATATCAACAGAGAGACAGGTTTCAGTAGGTGTTGCTCCATTTCTTTAGCTTCTTTTATTAAAACCATTGAACATTTGGTGTCGTTTTGCTGCAAGGGTTAGACACAGCATCTTCTCTGCTAGTTTCTGGAGTTGCGCAAATCTGGAAGGACTTTGCTACTTTCTTTGCCAATAAGGTTATGTTACATGATCGTCAGTCCAAAATGAACTGTGGACAATTTGGCTGTAAGCCATGTTGTCTACTTCTGTAAAATTCAACTATGAATGGTAAGGTGTATGTTCGGTTTATTTTTGTTGTTAGTTGTACACATTTTTTATTTATTTTTGTCTGAATATCAAGGAGATTGATTCAAGCATTTCTTAATTTCAGTTGTATGTGGATATAGTTGGTGCTTCATTTAACTTCATCTTACCATCTTTTCATCTAGTGATGCAGTGAACAAGACCCATTTGGATGATGTGTTCAAAGTTCTTGAACTATTCAGATCGAGCAGAAATAAATAATCCATTTTGATTTTTTGACATCCTTTCAATATACTTAGTTGCATATAAAGTCCTAACCACAATCGACCCGTGAAGATCGGGGGTAGTATAGGTCTTCAGCAACCCATTCTTGCCGTAAAAGGCGACAGTGCTTGTCGTAAGAGGCGACTAACAGGATCGGGTGGTCAGACTCGCTGACTTGGTTGATGCACATCATCATATCCCAGTTGCATGGATCGATGCTCATGATGTCAGTCACTGGATTGTCTGGTCCAGACTAAATTAATTACAGACCGCTGTCATATAGCTGGAATATTGCTGAGTGCGGCGTTAAACAACATAAAACAAACAAACAGAATCACCATAATTTGGATAGATTTTTCAAATCTGTTATTTTATCACTTTCATTAATGTCAGTTTCCATCCAAGTAATCAATTTTATTTTTCATTATTATCGTATACAAAAGTCAAGGTTTCAAGGCCTACAGCTTTTGCAAACTTTCTTTGTAGAATTGTTTTCTTACATTGCAGTGTAGTATAATATCATTTAAGAGATGTGAACACACAATGTCTTCAAATGTAATATTTGGGATAACACTTTCTTAGTAAAGTACACATTCATGTACTTTTTGGCATTGTGTGTTCATAGTTTTGGGCCACAGGAGCCGTGCCAATTTACACTTTTCCGAGGGCTACACTTAGTATGTGATCTAGACTACAAGTTGTCAGACTTTCATTTTTGTTGAAGCCTCGGTGGCTGAATGGGTTAGATCACTGACTTTGTGTTCTGGCAATTAGGTGCTTCACTCTGGCAGCGTGGGTTCAAATCCTGGATGGGACCCAAAAAGTACATGATTTAGTACTTTACTAAGAAAGTGTTGTCCTAAATATAACAATTGTTTCATTTGAGACTTGTTACTGTTACAAGGTACACACAATGTTATGGATAACATCTTTGCTTTTTACAGTATTAAAGAAGTTGTTATTCATAAGATTGTGTCTACCTTGTCACCCATCAACTTCTAAGTAATGCCTATCAAACAAGTTGTTACAGTTGTTAAGTTTATGATTATTTTACTAAGAAAGAATGTTCTAAACTCTTCTATTCTCATTCAGGATCAATTGCTTTTTCAAACCAATGATTTTTCTTATAGTGTTAACCAATTCCCAACACTAGAATTTGACATGCACCTGCTGCTGGGACAGCTAACTGCCACCTTGACAGGTGTGGGTTGTCTGAATGTAATAGACACAGCTACCTGATGCTTTAACATTTCACAACCCAGTCAAAGCAGTCTGGGTGGGAAGTTGAAAATCAGGATGAACAGGTGGAATTAAGCAGTGGTTAGATCATAGATGATGCTGTTTCTGTTGCAGGCGGCCCAGAACCTGTTCCCACTATCAATTCTCAACATGACAATGGCAGCTCTATCCGGTCACAAAGAGGCGAGGAAATAGACTATATGAATATACATCCTCGTAAGCGGAAATTACGGCCAAAGCCAGACACTCAACAACCAGGTGAAGCTCAACTGTCTGCGCCCATCCCTATCCCACCACCAGCTACATCCTACGAGAAACCACCAAACCCATTTGAGCTCTACTTGAACATCAGGAAACAGGTAGGTCACCACTGCAGCATTTGTAAAGTGGTGTGATGCTGTGACACAAGTGTTTAGGTGTTCAGTCGTGCCGTTGAGGTCTCCAGCACATGAGTACCCAGATACATGTGTGTGCATTTGCAACCAGCCTTTTCTGAAATTAAGCATCAAAGCAGTGTTTGAAATTAAGCATCAAACAGTGTTTGAAATTAAGCATCAAAACAGTGTTCGAAATAAAGCATCATCGCAGTGTTCGAAATTAAGCATCAAAGCAGTGTTTGAAATTAAGCATCAAGCAGTGTTCGAAATTAAGCATCAAAGCAGTGTTCGAAATAAAGCATCAAAGCAGTGTTCCAAATTAAGCATCAAAGCAGTGTTCCAAATTAAGCATCAAAGCAGTGTTCCAAATTAAGCATCAAAGCAGTGTTCGAAATAAAGCATCAACGCAGTGTGCGAAATTAAGCATCATCGCAGTGTTCGAAATTAAGCATCATCGCAGTGTTCGAAATTAAGCATCAAACCAGTATTTGAAATTAAGCATCATCGCAGTGTTCGAAATAAAGCATCAACGCAGTGTGCGAAATTAAGCATCAAAGCAGTGTTCCAAATTAAGCATCATCGCAGTGTTCGAAATTAAGCATCAAACCAGTATTTGAAATTAAGCATCATCGCAGTGTTCGAAATAAAGCATCAACGCAGTGTGCGAAATTAAGCATCAAAGCAGTGTTTGAAATTAAGCATCATCGCAGTGTTTGAAATTAAGCATCAAAGCAGTGTTTGAAATTAAGCATCAAAGCAGTGTTCGAAATTAAGCATCATCGCTGTGTTCGAAATTCAGCATCATCGCAGTGTTTGAAATTAAGCATCAAACTAGTGTTCGAAATTAAGCATCAAACCAGTGTTCGAAATTAAGCATCAAAGCAGTGTTTTGAAATAAAGCATCATCGCAGTGTTCAAAATTAAGCATCAAAGCAGTGTTCGAAATTAAGCATCAAAGCAGTGTTCGAAATTAAGCATCAAAGCAGTGTTCGAAATTAAGCATCAAGCAGTGTTCGAAATTAAGCATCTAGCAGTGTTTGAAAACAAGCCTCAAGCAGTGTTTGAAATTAAGCATCAAAGCAGTGTTCAAAAATAGGCAACAAAGCAGTGTTTCAAATTAAGCTTGGTCCTAGGGTCTTTGACGTTTGCACCAATCGTATTTGAATCTAAGGACCCCTAAATGATTAACGTTTAATATTATAGCAGTGGGAAGGGCCTGTTTTTCATGGCTAAAATCGAACACTGATGAAAGTCAAGGGATCACAACCCTAATATCAAAGTTTGAAGATTTATTAGGTCCTTGGATTCATCTACTATAGCAGTAAACCGCAAGGACTAAAAAAAAAGACAGTGTATAGATGATTTGTTTCTTTCTGTAGCATTAATCTGTGAGTGACATGCTAACCATCCACCTTCCTTCTGTAGATTGCCAGCAAGCAGCAGTCACTTAGTGCAGTACATCCAAAGGCTCCAAGTGGCTTCAAGGACTACCTCATGGTCAACTGTACCTATGTCCTACAAGGCAATGCTACCAGTACTCTCTCTGTGCCAATGGTAGGTCTACTTCTGAATGACTGGATAATTGTTCACAGCCGAGTTAAACCCAAGTCACTCACTCACTCACTCTTCTTTGGAATAGTTTTCCCAATGTGGATTCCAGGTCAATATGAGTCAACAGTATGTCATGCTTAACAGTTTGTTTAAGTTTATTTATAATGCAATATTTCAGTTATGTTGTGGTAGCTTGTGAATAATTGAATGGTGCTAGGGTATACAAGTGCTTAATAGTATGAGCAAGTTAAATAGGTCATCCCACATTGCTAGGTCACGATGACACATAGTCACAGAGCCTGACAAGCAATTCCAAGTGTTAGATAGCTTTACAACAGGCAAAAGGCACTGGGAACCTATTCTGAATTGGAATTGCCATTCACATCCTCAAAACCAAATATATATATATATGTATGTATTTTGTCTATTTCATGTATCAGAAACCTCATGTTTCACGAAAATACTCTTGAATAGTGTCATATGTATGTTATTGCTAAAAAAACTTGATGATTTACCCTTTATCACACAAATGTTTATATATTGAATTTTGCCCACTCTTGTCGTTGCCTGCGTCCTAATTGTGTTTATTGGTTTGACCTTAATGCAATGTTAAACAAAACATCTTGTTAAGTGGTAGTAGTAGTGACATTGTTGACAAAGCATCTGACTAAGTGTTATGTTTGAATTTCATTTATCTCCCCCTTATAAGTGCTGGTATGTGCTGTGGCTGACTAAGTGCTGTGTTTGTGTCTGTTATATGATAGTAGTTTTGTTCAGAGAGCGGCTGAAGCAATTCCTGTTTGTTTTGCAGTTGTCGCCCCCTCAGTCTGTGGAGGGACCCATGCGGGAGCTGTTCCAGGAGCAGGAGAAGGCTCGGTACAACCTCCGACTGCAGCACCTCATAGAGAGGGTCAGTAGCCTGCTCGAGGCAGCACAACAATAATTATAGCACTATAACATTGGTCACAGAGTGATAGGTCGGTGGTTCAATCCCCTTGGTGATCTGTAACCAAAAGAGGGGCGGTCAGGTAGCCTAGTGGTTAAAGCGTTCGCTCGTCACGCCAAAGACCCTGGTAAGATTCCCGACATGGGTACAATGTGTGAAGCCCATTTCTGGTGTCCCCCGCCGGGATATTGCTGGAATATTGCTAAAAGCGGCGTAAAACCATACTCACTCACACACACACACACACACACACACACACACACACACTCACACTCACACTCACACTCACACTCACACTCACTCACACTCACTCACTCACTCACTCACTCACTCACTCACTCACTCACTCACTCACTGTAACCAAAAGATGTTAAAAGATGGTACTTGTTACGCTGCTTGGCACTTGAAGTTAAGGGGAAGAAGAACTGGTCTGATTGGGGTTTCTATGTTCAACTGTGGCATGGTTTCTCAGTGGGCAGGCACTATAAAACTGACATCATTCTGGACTAGTACAAGCAGCCACAGACAAAAGGGCATCCACGTCGCAAGTGCAATAGTCTTGGAATGCCACATTAAACACAATTTTATTTCACCTCGCCTCACTGCACCCATAACATTGATTTGGAGAACAAATTGCTTTCTGTGCCATAAATACTTTGCTTTAACGAAGCAATTTTTGCAACAGATATCACTAGGGGTTGAGGGTAATGCTACTTAGGGCATCACTCAACATGAAACAATAATATGTGTTCACTTGTCATGCCGAAGATCCGGGTTCGATTCCCCGATTGGGTACTTTGTGTGAAACCCATTTCTGGTGTCCGTTGCCGTGTTATTGTTGGAATATTGATAAGAGCAGCGTCAAACCTCACTCACTCACTCAATGACCCATGTATCATTCCCCAGATAGTTACAGTGTAAGAAGCCAATTCTTGATGTCAATTGCCATGTTTTGCTTTGATATTAATAAAACAGACATAAATCATTCTCACTCACTCACAGAATCAGCCGGTTGACTGTTAAATATATTTACATCATTCGGCACCTTTATCCACAAGTCTGAAGCTTGTGTATAGTAAAACATCAGTCAATATACATTAGTCTCGCATTTTGGAAGATATAGTAACCTTATAGAAATGAGAATTGTCACTGTATGATGGGGTGTTGTTTATTTCAGGAAAAGCTGATGCTGTCTATAGAGCAGGAGATTCTGAGGGAGCACGGGAGGGCAGCAAGGGCATTAGCCAATCAGAGTCTGCCTCTCTCAGTGTGCACCATTCTCAAGGATGAAGAAATCTACAACATGCAGGAGTTGGAACAGGTGGGTGGGTAGGGTGGCCTAATGTAAGCAACACTGAGCAGTGAGGTCGTGGCGCAGGTTTGAACACCCCGTGGAAGTGGTCAGGGGAAGGGAGGATACTGGCGGATCTGCATGTATTGCTACACCCGTGAAGACCCGGGGTAGAATAGGTCTTCAGCAACCCATGCTTGCTGTAAGAAGCGACTATGCTTGTTGTAAGAGACGACTAACGGGATCGGGTGGTCAGACTCACTGACTTGGTTGATGCATGTCATCGTATCCTGACTGCGTTGATCAATGCTTATGTCAGTCACTGGGTCATCTGGTCCAGACTTAATTATTTACAGACCACCGTCATATAGTTGGAATATTGCAGAGTGCGGTGAAATTATGCATGAACTTTATGGGTCCTTGTTAATGTCCTAGTGTTAAAAACTGACAATTAAGGGGTCCCTATATTTGAATACCACAGCAGCAAACCTCACAGACCCCAGGATCCGGCTTAATTTGGAACACTGCTGAATGTCACAGTGTAACATGTAACTTCAGATGATGGTAGTCAGAGAATGGGGTAACAATGGGTAGTATATTCAGTCGGATTACTATCCCAGGGTGCAGATTGTCTCTAGACTAGGGGTCAGTTCGTGTAATGTTAAAGGTACCTGAGGGCAGAATTTCAGGCCTGACGGGGTGTCGCTACTCAGGCTAGTAAACATTTCAGGTTAAGTTGCTGTTTATCACATCAAGTCCTCAAAACTGGCTCCTCATAATCAATGTCTCACCCTTTGCATTCCAGGCTGAGGATAAGCATGTTAGGTCCAGGTACAATGGCAGGCAGTTTATATCCTGGATTCAAGATGTCGGGGACAAGTATGACAAGATAAAGGTAAGAGGTCACGTTCTCATTTCTAAAAGGCATTCTGAGTGTTCTGATGGTTAGTGCAACTCAAGAATTTAAGCACTAATCAAAGGTCAAACATGTATAATGAACGGCAGAGCAAATGCCACTTCATGGAAATAGTTCATGAAAGTTTTCCACTGAAATATCAATGCATGTTTTGGAGGTATCTCATTGTTGACATTAGTCTGTATCCATATTTAATGTTAACGGCCAAACGTTGACATGATTTATGGATATAATGGGTCTCTAATATGCAGCTTATCAAACGTACAAAGTCCCAAATGCTTTCACTGAAACTCAAAATTCACTTGTGTTTCCTTGTGCCATTTCTGATAAACAGCACCCAATGCTTGGATTCAACATTCTTGCATCGATACTAGCACCATTGCAAGACTTACGAAGAATCAGAGAAACCTGGCTTTAGGACGACTGCACGGATTATTTTCATGACATGGTGTTTCTTTTGCTGTTCATATATATATGCACACAATGTTTTGAGGATAGGGATACAGCTCTATGTATGCTCTATGTTAAGCATACTCTTGGTGTATCTTTTTGTCAAGCATCAAGCTCAGAATTTTCAGCTGTCATTACATAAAACTGGTCAGCAGTAGAAACTAATATTCGTAGTCCACTAGTCCATATAATGATAAAATAGCAAAACCCTTAAAAATAGCAAATTTCTACTAGTCCTTATGATACCGTAACTATTGGGCAGTTTGGCAAGGACTACAGGACAAGTGCCAATTTCTAACGCTGGCTAGTATGAATGCAGCAGAGAAAGACTTGACTTTTAAACACTAAGACAATGAGCAAACTATGCACTATTTATAGAAAAATAAGATAGTAGTTGTTGTTTCTATTAATGGTTAATATTACCGTATTTTCTTGAGTATAGTGCACACTTTTTTTTCAAAAAAACACAGCTGTGTAGAAGGGGATGCGCATTATACAAGACTTAATGAGTTATGTTATTAATTTTATTCAAAATTCCTTTTAATATTGTTTTAATTAATTTCGGCGAAATCGTGTGTGAAGCGATCGGAAGATGCATTTTTTTTAGTATATGCAATATCCCATCAGTTATTTTGTAGCAGTACTCTTATAATCTTGAAATTCTTGACCTTTGCAGGAGTTCCTTTTGATGCGACACCACCACGAAGCAGAGTCCCTGTTTGCCGTTCAGAAGATGGACTGGGAATGGCGCTTGAAGGCGTGTGGACTTTGTGATTACAATACAACACCCGTTATAGACGATTTACATGTACCCATGGTGCATGTAAATGACGAATTTGAGTTATTACCAACGTAGAATCCACAGGAGTGAGCAATCGTAATTGCTTGCATGAACGAAAAGGCTAACCAGCAGTAACAACTGGTCTCTTCAGCTCAAAGTGAAGGAACACAGGTTTTCATCATGGAATGATGTGCTGCTGCAGCTACAGTTGACATAGGAAATGGTTTAATGCTCTAAGCAGATGGTTCTACCTTGCTGAATTCTGATTGGTCAGTATTTGTGCTCTGCAAGTCGTGCTGAATTATCATTGAGTGACAGATCCTTACAGCTTTGCTATGATGGCCACAAGGAAGGAATCGAGTGTCATTTTCCCGCCAGTTTGACAAGCATCAAGCCTGATAGGATTACCATAGCATCGTTCTGAGATTTGCCATCACAAAATGCCGCTGTTGAAGCTTGTGGAAATCTGTAGATGTGCTGCATCTGTGCCCAGTCCAACCTGGACACAGGTCTCCAAGAGGATTAGTGCTATTTGAGAAGGGGAAAGTGCCTTGGGTGGATGTCACGGAGGTGCTGATTGGATCAGTTTCCCTATGGTCAGTGCGACAGATATGCTGATTGGATCAGTTTCCCTTAAACTGATTGGGTCAGTGTCGATATTCTGTGCTCGTCAAGAATGTGGTCCTTCGTCCCAGAGAAAGGGCATATTGTGTAGTTATACGTAAACAGGAATTTCACTACTTGTATTTTGAAATGTTTCAAGTCATCACTTGGTCCTATGGTTCTTTTTTTGGATAAAATAATTTCAAATCGGTTCCATTTCAGCAATCTTAAAGTAGACTTACATTAAACCTATTCTGCACAATATTATGGTTATATAGTCCATGAAGGATGGCTCAGAAAGATCCTGTAACAACTGAGACAGCACATGTCTTGTTCACTGTAACTTGTTGTCTAGTATTACTGAAATAATCTGATGACCTGATTGTGCTGTTACAACCGACATCACTCAAGAACTCTGTAACAACGTCACAGCGAAACGTGTAGCTGGATGGTATCACCCATGAGAGGAGACAACATAGGACTTGAATTACCTCACTCAACATATCTCTCATGTTATAGACTCCCATTGATCACCATTGTGAAATAGCATTGCTGACTAGCATGCTAGAACTCAGATATACATATATACATAAGTATACATAGGTATCTAACATGGAGTATGTATTGCATTGCCATGTCTCATGGGGACCTACTGATAAGGTTCTCAATGGGATTGCTCGTGTCCAATGACGAAGCAGTATATACGTACCCACATGTATTTTAAGTTGTACATATGTTTTGCCTATAGTGTGAGCAACGTGGTGTAAAATTGTACATATGAAAAATATTAGGTATTTTATGATGTTTGACATTGATTCACTTGTCGTGAGTGAACTGCGGGGAGTCAGTCCCAACAATCACTTCAAAGCTTCGTCTTTCTGGATATTGTAGCTCTGTGTACAAGCACAGCTTACAGTCCTTATACAAAAGTCAGACAGATATTTTTGACGGGTAGGATTTTGGGGGGACTTGTGTAGGCTTTATCTCAGCATTCTAAATCAAACATTTTTTTTAGAATATTGGTTGTTGTTTTCATAGTGAGTGTATGAATTCAAACTTACAATTTGAGATTTTCGAAATTTCAAACTAATTCCTATTTGTTATGAGGTGTTACAGTATAGAATCCTATACTGTTCTAGGTTCTCAGCCAAGTACTGCATTGTTTCAGTATTGTTTGAAAGTGCTAGGATTGTCATTCTTTGGGCTACTTCATCTCTCAGTTCTGTTCGCTTTCATCTCTTTCAACTATGTTCTCTGTACTTCCATCACACAAACATCAACAAGCACCTGTTCCTAACTCTCACCATAAATAAATGTTTTAAAAGATCAATGCAGATATGTCCAGATTTGGAGTACAGTCAACTGGATATCAGTACTCAAAAGGACCACAGAATTTTCAAAGTTTACAATTCACAGGATCAGTGGGGCACAGGTGGCCCAGTCATCTAAGGTGTTCACATTCATGTGCAAAGTCCAAAACCTACGATTGTGGGTTCAAATCCAGGCTCGCACCAATTATGTTTCTGTTATGTTTGTGCACCGTCTGATGTCACTTGGGCTTGTCCTCCCACATTAAGTTGACCCGCTGTGATGTAACTGGAATACAGTTAAATGTTACACCAACTCACTCACAGGAGCAGTAATGTTAAACAAGACTTTTGATTACACTTGTGTTCATTATAGAAGGCTATTTGCTAAATCAGAGCTTACAACATCTGAAGTTGAATTTGCTTCAGTGACTCCAACCATGGAATATTAAGTTATTGGTATATCAAGGATATATTGCTTAAGCAGATTATTGCTTGGTTATGTTACTTTTGATCTTTAAATGCAGAGAATAAATACTAGGTAGGTATGGTATGTAAGAAATACTCTCAATATGTTGTGTATGCAGAATTTTGTATACTGAAACATTTTGAAACGATTAGTGGATTTTGACTCTTGATAAGTAACAAATGACTGGAAATTTATGTCCAAGCATGACAATGTGAATGAGGATTCAAACTCAGACAACATTGTTGCAATGTTGCATGCCTTCAGCCCTCACTACCACATACCAACTTTTTTGTATTCTGTCAGTTCGCTTGAAAAATATTTCCCAAATTCCACTTCCCGTTTTCATAGTGTGTCAGTATATATTTACAGACATACTTTTGAATTTAAATGGGTTGATATGTTCAAACCAGATATAAATGCAACCTTTGTTATGGTGATGAGGTGACTAGGACAGTCATCAAGCAGTGCTGTCATAAATAGGATTTTGGTGTTTGGCTTATATTCTGAACATGTCAGCATTACAACACAGTATTGCACCAAGGTTCTGGGTTCCAAGGTACCGTATTCTTCCAAACAGAGGACTTCAAAACAGTATGGGTTTCTCAGTTATTTTTAATTTCAGCGGTGAGGTAGCCTTGTTATTAAAGTGTTCGCTTGTCACGCCGAAGAACCGGGTTCGATTCCCCACATGGGTAAAATGTGTTAGGCATTTCTGGTGTCCCTGACGTCATATTGCTGGAATGTTGCTAAAAGTGGCATAAAACAAAATTCGCTCACTATTTTCAAATTTCACATTTACAAGTGGGTTACTGTAAGTTTTCTTCCTTCCCAAATAAAACAGGTAATTCTCAGAATTAGTGTTTGGCAGTATTGCCCATATCCACAGAATCTGTAGAACATGGTAGAAATTAAGTCAATTCTTCCAACATAAAAATCAACTTTAAAATTGTCCAAGCTAAGTAAATTCCATTATTATTATATGATGCAACATATCATTTCTAGGTCAATGGTGTGGAGAACTTGGAACCCAACAGCCTTGTTGCATCTGTGTCATCATATCTACTTAATCATGTTTGTAACATACAAACTAGTTTTGATTCAAGATAATTTTCAAATCCATTTTTGATATGTGATGCCAATACAGAAAACATGCTTCCAGTCTTCATATTGTCTGTCTGTCAGTCAGTCTGTCTGCCTGTCCATCCGTCAGTCATTGCTCTCTCTTTCTTCTTCTCTTGGTACCAGTATAGCTTTGATCAGCCCGGACTAACTCGTAGTATTTGTTCCATTACTAGGCCATAATAAATTACCACTGATCATCCACACATATTGAACCTCGTTTGAATATTTGCTGTGATTTTTTTGCAAGGTGTCATGCTATAAGCTTCAGAGCTTGCTTTATGAATGATAGGTCTATCATGGTAACTAAATTTGTGATTCCTAGAAGGAGCAGTACACAAGATTTACGAATTGCTTTTAAGGATTAGTAATCTTTGGAAGATGTTATGAGTTTGTTTGGGGCTATCTGTTTTTGATTTGTTGAAAGAATACAATTCTATCTTTGCCCTCTCTGTTCTCACAATTTAGTGTTTGGATGAAACGGTATTTATCATGGCCTGATTATCATTCTCAGTTTTGAGTTGTAAAGCCATTGTCATTTGTAAGTGTAGATTATGAATGTGTTACTGGTTATTTGTTCAGTTCTGGATGTTTACTGTCCGTTGTTAGCATGGTTAGTACGATGTCCGTGGCCTGCTTGGATCCATCTTGGTACATACATGGAAATTGTCAAACATTGCCTATGCCCGTGTTCAAATAAATGTGTAAGTAAATGAATATCAGCCGTTTGTTTTTATTTCAACCTAGGGGGCCCGAGTGGCCAAAGCGTGTCAGGTGCCAGAATTTGCTGTGCAGAGTTGTATCAGAAACCTATGGTTGTGGGTTCGAATCCCCGTTTGACCCGATTTCATTATCAGCACCATATACCCATGCTTGTGGGTATTAAAATTACATTAAGCTTTCCTCCCCCATTAAGTGGACACACTGTAATATAACGGGAATACTGTTCAAAGCGGCGTTAAACTCAACTCACTATTTCATCACATTGTTTCATATAAGTTCACTTGAGCTATATTCCATGTTTTTAATCTACACAATGGGTGTCTGTTCTACATGGACTTGTACATCTACATATCTTGGACAGGTGTGGCCTATTATCTGTGTATATTACTCCCTATTGTAGGCAGGGTTGTATTAAAGATAGTAATATATGGTAGGCAACATTATTTATTTGCTTTTTATGGATCAACCGATCAGAGAAGAAAATAAAACTAATTTAGACTAATTTTTATATGCCTGACAATTTCATTTGATGAGAAAATAAGATACAAGTACATTTTTTTAAATTTTTCTTTTCTTTTTGTAAATTACACTACCGGTATTAACTTTTAAAAATAATGTTAATCAAATACATTCTATGTAGTCTCAGGCCAATGCAATCCTCTAATGAAGAGATAAAAGCCAAAATCAGAAGTAAATACATGGTTCTTTAAAAATACTACACATCCTGCACTTTAAACCCTATCAGCATTAATTGTTTCCCACTGAACCGACATGCCCAGACAATTTCATGACAAATCAAATAAAATAATACTGAGCTGCAACAATCGATCTTTATTTTGATGGACCCATGCCACTCAGCAGACATCTGTCAACATAAAAAATAAGCATGACAGTAGCTTGGTATCAGGACCCACACTACTCCTTTTGGAGGGTCTTTATGTTCTTTGTAAGATTCAAAGACCAGGACACCTGGTTTGAAGAATCATGTAAGACAGAGTGACTTGTTGAATCTTGAAAACTCAAAACACTGGGTACATATTTCAGTTACCACAATTCCAAGTCCAGGAATCAATATCTGATTTTGTGTCATATTTAATTCAGAAACAATGCACTGAATCAGAGGAGAGGCCTGGAATGATTATTCATTAGTCAATAACATCAATAATTCAAATCACTTCATATTTCTCTAAGATAAATAAATATCACAAAAAATTATTTTTAATAACTTTCTGAATAAAATCACATTTAGTGCTTTTAAATCAAGGTTCACATGCTCTAGTCATGTAAATATGAACTATATAAATTACCATGTTAAGTTTTACTTTGCAAAAAATGGCCATCCACATCCTCAAATATCTTGGAAACTGTATCTCCATTCAATTGGGGAAAATACCCTGCCCATATAAACCTCCAAACCTTCATTTTGTAAGTGGGGGCACGGGTGGCCCAGTAGTCTAGGGCGCCGCAATTCGCTGTGCAGAGTTGCGTCCCTTGGTCACGCCAGAAACCTATGATTGTGGGTTCGAATCCCGGTTCGCCCCAATTATGTTTCTAGGTTTGTCAGCACCATACCCGTGCTCGAGGGTTTTACCGAGCTGGTAAATGTCTGAGACCTGCATCACTTCTGGCTTTCCTCCCACATTAAGCTGACACGCCGCAATATGACTCGAATACTGTTAAAAGCAGCGTTAAACCCAACTCACTCACTCACTCATTTTGTAACTCTCCAATTTTCAGTATTTCTCTTGCTCATGAGTGTACTTTGAAATCGACAGCAATGGTCCAGGTTATTGATCATAATAATATGGAGATATGATATTCACTGGGTAATATAGACATGAGCACACCTGTGTGTTAGGTATGTATAAAGACTTGTTTAGTCTGAGTGCACTCTTTTTATTTCAGTGCACTCATAAGTAGTGATCACAACAAAAAACCTAATATTAGATTAAACATGTGTTACTTTACTAATTGTTTTCCCTTTATTTAAACCAAAATAATGGTCAAAGGCAAGGAGTAAAGAATTGCACATGTGTTGAGAAAATTCCACTTGCTCTCCACAACATATATTGGTATTTCATTGCCATGTAAAAGTACATCTTTTTTCACTGGAACAAAATCGATTTCCTTTTTCAAATAAACCAATATTCCTAATGCCTATTAAGACTTTATACCAATACCGCAAACCATTATTTAGTCCACAACAATCTCAACACAGTCAAGGCTATGGCAATTGTGAGCGCTTATATAGACATCTTATATATAAGAACATAAATAGAAAATATCAAAACAAAAAGTGCCTGTTATCGTGTCATATGCTTTTGAGTACAATTGTAAGTAGCACACCACTCAGTTAAGAGCAGTGACCCAATTGTAACTGAAACGGAGACACCCCCCTCCACGTGTGCACGAGTTGCCAACTGGAATTTCCTGTTGTTTAGACGCCGCTCTTCCGTTTGGGGGAGGGACAAAGGAGTCAGAAGCTGTGTACGAAACTAACACTCAGGGGAACAGCTCCAGTGGCCGACGTGGCAGACGAGAGAGGTGAATTATGGAAAGTGTATCCGTCCTTGCTGTTGCCGCTCTCAGCGTAATTGCTGTTTGCCAGGTAAGTTTACATCGCATATCCAAGTTTGCGTAAGTATGAATGTTGAAATATCCGGGAATTCCAATAAAGCAGAACGTAGACAAACATCCCCTCCGGGTCTCGTGATCAGGGTCAAAGGTCGTGAACTTTGGGTTATCGATCATATCTCGTCTGATTGCTGCACAAGCAGACGATTTATTTGCCTTGGATTTATTTGCTGTCCAATAACAGAAGTTGCTTAATAAATTTTCCAAACGTGCAGTTGAAGGAGTTTGTATTGGCTATTGCTTTTCACGTGTAATGGGACGCCTTATCAAAAGTGTTTGTTTATGAAAGTGGGAATTAGGTAAAACACAATTTTTGGGGATTTGCTACTCTTTTGTAACACGTCGCTGTATGAGTGTTTTTGGTTGCATATCAAACTTATTTAAGTCTAACTTACTTTATTTCCAGAAATATTGTTTCTCTTTCTCAATAAACATGTTTATAGGCGTAGGAATTAGAGAAAAAATAAAAGCGAAATGCCATTGCAATCTGGTAGCGTCTGTAGGCCTACTATATATACTTTTAGTTCAAAAGTGAGCAAGCAGGTTTTCTTTGAACTCTGCAGTACGGCATTCCTCTGCCCAGGTCAGCCCAGTCAGTAGATCTGATTGACAGCAGGTGATTTATTGTTACCAGCTGGCTCTAGCTGGGCTAGCAGACGCCATTTATGACTATTCTAAGATGCATTGAAAAAACAATTAAAAGCTTACTTACATGCACAGGGACCTTACTTATTAGTATCACTTTATCAAGTCTCTGTAATATTTGCAAAATAATACAAATAAAAATTTTGTAAGTTGTAATATCCTGAAGAATTAAGAATTGAATTAATCTCCCTAATCTCTGTACCTCTCTCTATGTTTAATGTGAACAAATAAAATAAAATAAAACTTTGATTTGTAATAATTTGAAGGTATAATAATGACAGTAATGTCAGAATAATAATTATATTACTTATCCTAAACTGAAGTCATCATCTACACTATACATTCAATGAAGACTATAAACATTTTAACCTTTTATACGTTCATAGAAGTTAGATCAACAGTTAAAATTTTAAGTTTAAGATAGCAAATGATATTATTCAATCAAACTTCTATCATACTACATTATGGAATTCAATGTCCAAAGTAAGGTGTTTATTGCAATGCTGACACATTTTAGGCCAGGTGTCAACCCTGGCATCCATTTGGTGACTCATTATTGCAATATTCATGGAATTCAGGACCAAAGGCATAGTGAAACTGAGGGAATAAGCATAGACTTGCTAAATAATATATGATGATCATGCTAGCTAGCTCAAAAGTAACTTTGATTTATTTTTATGGAGACTACAAAATAAGTAGGATTTAACTTGTATTATGAGGATATTTTGGCTGTTTACATCTCACGACAAGCATAGTCACCTTTTACAGCAAGCATGGGTTGCTGAAGACCTTTTTTGAACAAAATATTCTTTGGTGTTTCTATGTAATCTATTTCATGGTAATAACAAACTGGATGTCTATGGCTTATTCAGTTTATGTCATGTACACTGATACATTGTTGGCATTTTGGAACAAAGTGACTCAACAAATCTTTGACTGAGTGATTGGAATTGTTTAATCATTGCAATAATGTTCCCATACCAATTACATGTTGTTTTAAACTGTTGAACACAGTACAGACAACAGATGCAAGTTACAGTCCACAACTTTCTGTCCATGCCCAACACTTGAGCATATTTTGCTTAAACATCTTTGGAAATGACTGAAATAGAAATTTATCTGCAAGCTTTCCCTCTGGCAGATACAGAAAGAGGAATCAAGTTTAATGAGATAACCTGTGACATACCCCCCCTCCCCCATCCACATTAATACTTCCTTTCATTCTTTTAGTTCTGAATCTGACACAGAGATTATAACACTGGACATAGTGAACATGACTTTTGTCCCATTACTTACATAACAGGAGCATGGGTAAAACTGCAACATCAGCAGTCTGATATAGTTTGTTGGTTTGTTGTTTAACGCCACACTCAGCAATATTCCAGCTATATGACGGCGGTCTGTAAATAATCGAGTCTGGACCAGACAATCCAGTGATTGATATCATGAGCTTCAATCCACGCATTTGGGATCAATGACATGCATCAACCAAGTCAGCGAGCCTGACCACCCGATCCCGTTAGTCGCCTTTAACAACAAGCATGGGTTGCTGAAGACCTATTCTACTCCGGAATCTTCACGGGTCCAATACAGTGAAAGAAACAAGTATTTTTCAAATGTTTCAGAGGGCACTATTAATGATGTTTAGAATTTTGGAATTTAAATGTGCTGACAAGAAGAATACTTTTGTGTTTTTTCTCAGTTTGCCTTTCTTTGAAATCAATGTTTCCTTCAATGTCACTCACTGGTAATAAGAGGTATCTAACATGATCGAGTGGTCAGGCTCGCTGTCTTGGTTGATGCATGTCATCGTATCCCAATTATGTGGATCGATGCCCTGTCTCTTCTTAAGGATATATAGGAGTTTTTTAAATTTACTATTAACTTCCATATTATTCACTATTATATGAACAAACAAAATTCTTATGAGCCCCATGGGGGGGATAGTGATAATGCTGTTTTCTTGTTCTATTCAGTAAATAAATGTGTACTGAAGGACATGTACAGAATGTCCAAAGTTTGAGATTAAATGTCCATTATAACAAATCTTGATGATCTGATGATTGAGTTGGTACGTCTTCTCTCTTCAGGCTGGCGACACAACAGTTACCAAAAAGGTTTACTTCGATGTCAAAATCGGGGATAATCCAGCTGGCCGCATTGTGATTGGCCTGTTTGGAGAAACAGTTCCAAGAACAGTTGATAACTTTGTTACCTTGGCAACTGGCTCCAGGGGATTTGGCTATTCTGGCAGCATCTTCCACAGGGTCATCAAGGACTTCATGATTCAAGGTTTGTTGGGGTTGATCAAATATTCGGTCAAAGTGAAAAAATCAGATTTAAATGATAAAACAATGGATAATGACACCTGGAAATGAACCAATTCAAGAAATATTGTGCATGATTAGCAAATAACATAAGAGCTGTGATGAATTACACATTATATGTCCTGATTGATACTACAAGTTGTAGCAGAATCACTCGGGGTACATGGGGGTTTATGTGTTCTGTGTTAGGTTTTATACCGCAAGCTGGAGGCGAATGGTATAAAAACTATTAACGAGGGATGCATAAAACCCCATGTACCCAAAGTGATCCCGCTACAATAAATTTATCTTACCTACATGGTTTAGTATAACATTGTAAAAGAATTCTAACAAATTCAGAATTGATAGAAAACAGCTGATCGATTGAGCTGAGGTTAGCTCGCCCCATGTCACATGACTCCGATTGACTCCGAAAAAGCTTGCGGATTTTTGCTTTGAAGTTGGGTATTAGGGATTGTTTCCCCCTTTTAGAAATCCATGTACAGCCTAACTTGCACATGGCGTCGCATAAAAGATTTATTCCCCCACTGAGAAATTTATTGCCCTCTAAGGCGGACTACACAGTATTTTATCACGATCACGTGGACCAATCAGATCTTATCATTCTGACATGGAGGTATTATTATATAATATACACAGGGGAACGTGTGGTCTAGCCATCTAAGGCACCACAATTTGGTGTACAGAGTTGCATCCTTTGGGCACGCCAATATTGTCAGCACCAGACCCATGCTCATTTGTTTCTTCAAAGTGGTAAAAGTCTGAAACCTGCATCACTTAGGGTTTTCCTCCCACAAGCTGACAAGCAGTGATATAAATGGAATATTGTTCTAAGGGGCGTTAAACAATACTCACTATGACATATACAGTCACGAGTTATGGCAAACCATTTGTATTTATCCTTGATAAATACATGTTAATAAAGTATATATCTGTCAAGAAAAAGATCACATTCAGGTGTTGCTAGGGGACATTAAAGTGTATGCAAACATGTTACAGTACATGTTTTTCTTAAATGCTTATCAAACAGACCATGCTATTGTTGATTCTGATCTATGATTCACTGGCCATTCTGAATGTGCATTTTTACAAGTAAAATTATAGGTCACTATGCAAAATTATAGAGAAATTGTATTCCACCATAACATGGTTTAAGTCAGGGAAATGACTTGATTCTGTTGATTTGATGAAGGTTATGTCTCATTGTGTGTTGCAGGTGGAGATTTTGTGAATGGTGACGGAACTGGAAGCAGAAGTATCTATGGAGATAATTTTGATGATGAAAACTTCACGTTGCATCACTATGGTGCAGGATGGCTCAGCATGGCTAATTCAGGTTCGTATACATGCCAAATGCATTCTATTGAAGAATCATTAAGAGTGGTCATTTGGATAGTAAACCATCAACAGTTCTGTCTGTGAAAGGCTGATTTGTGTCTGATAATGGTTACCATTCAGAGATGCCGATCATTACGATTTGGGCCAATCATTACGATTTGGGCCAATCATTACAATTTGGGCCAATCATTACAATTTGGGCCGATCATTACTACTTGGGCCGATTATTACAGTTTGGGCCGATCATTACCATTTGGGCCGATCATTGCAATTTGGGCCGATCATTACTACTTGTTCCGATCATTACAATTTGGGCCGATCATTACCATTCTGGACGATCATTACCATTTGGGTCGATCATTACAATTTGGGCGGATCATTACCATTCTGGACGATCATTACCATTTGGGTCGATCATTACAATTTGGGCCGATCATTACCATTCTGGACGATCATTACCATTTGGGTCGATCATTACAATTTGGGCGGATCATTACCATTCTGGACGATCATTACCATTTGGGTCGATCATTACAATTTGGGCCGATCATTACCATTCTGGACGATCATTACCATTTGGGTCGATCATTACAATTTGGGCGGATCATTACCATTCTGGACGATCATTACCATTTGGGTCGATCATTACAATTTGGGCGGATCATTACCATTCTGGACGATCATTACCATTTGGGTCGATCATTACAGTTTGGGCTGATTATTAATATTTGGGCCAGTCATTACTACTTGGGCCTATCACTACCATTTGAACCGACTTGAAATCAAATAGATTAGGTGAAGTATTGAATTAAGTTCCAATACATCACCGGTACTTTAAACTATGCTTAGCATTGCTGAAGGCACTGTCATATACAACAAATAAACAATTATTTTAGCTTGTGATAGGAAGGTTGACAAATTTGGACAAATTTAAATATTATGCAATAGGTTATATGTTTTCATCAAAACCATACATTCAGCTTACAATGACTTGTTTAAAGTTACTAATGTTAGATGGCAGTTATCACAGATATACATAATTACCTCAGGGAGGGATTGGTGTCTCTGCTTTATGTTGCTTAGGGGCGGTGGGGTAGCCTAGTGGTTAAAGCATTCGCTCGTAACACTGAAGGCCCATGTTTTATTCCATGGGTACAATTTGTAAAGCATCCCGCCGTGATATTGCTGGAATATTGCTAAAACTTGTGTAAAACCCACTCACTCACTCATGTCAATATATGTTTCCCTTTCAGGCGTTAACACCAACGGCTGCCAGTTTTTCATCTCGACAGTGCCTACTCCCTGGCTGGATGGGCACCATGTTGTGTTTGGCAAGGTCATAGAAGGTATGAATGTTGTGAAGGCCATCGAGGACACACCAACTGATGCATACGACAAGCCGACCGAAGATGTCACAATTACTGAGAGTGGAGAACTACCTCTGACAGATGGACCATTTGATGTAGACAAAGTGTAGAGACTAGTTATATCATGAAATCCATCCATAACTGCCTATGCAAGATGTCTGTGAGTTTTTGTATGTGTGGATGATGCATATATATGTGTGTGTGCTGTGGTGAAGGGATGCTATGCTTTTAAGAGTTGTCTCCCTTATGTACTCCTTTCTTCTCACAAGATAAAATGACATTTACATTTCTCAGGCTGGAGTCTTTTGGTATTTATTTATAAATTCAATTGCATTTATCAACAAGTAGACTTATTTACTGTTCAAGTGTCAGTTGCATAACTGTTTTTAAGATTGACATATTATTTTCAATTGAACAATGAACAAACTAAATGAATCCTCATGAACCATTTTATCGTCGTTTATGGAAGAGAAAATGCATAAGACAGCATCTGAAGTAAAAAAAGTGACTATGTTTTCAATTCATCGAGTAATGAACGCCAAGATATATTCCTCATCAACTGATCAACTGATGGAAATTACATGGAATATGTTTACTCCATCCATGTACATTGTACGAGGGACGACAGGACACTGTAATACGTTTCCGTTATTGGCGAAGATTGAGGAAAGTCTTCCTCTGACACTGACATATGAATGTGCCAACAAGTGTAACCCACCAAACAATTGTGCCAAACATTGTCTCGGAAGTTGTGCTGAACCAATACTGTTATGACTGTTATCACACATATATACGAGCCAACGATATTGTGACTGTTATCACACATATATATCAGCCAGTAATATAATGACTGTTATCACATTTGACCATGCATTTATTTCTGAAGCATTAATATAATTTTGGTGTGAAAATTGTCATTTGGTTTCCAATGAGTACATGCTACATTTAATCCATATCTTTTAGAAAAAGATGATCTACTGCTGAAATATTTCGAATAATTAATAATTCATTCAAGTATTATGGATCTTGTAGAAATAAAGGATGTGGCTCCTAAATGAAATAGTATTTTATATTTCAGTGCTGGTTTATTTAAGATCACAGAAACTAGAAGTGTGACCTTGTTGGTATATTAAACCAGTATTACTTTACAGCCAATACTGAAATACAATGTTATATGTCAAATTAAATGTGCTATATTTTACAATGAACATGCATTGTTGCATCATAGTCAATACATTATGTATGCATTCAATAAAAGCATACAATAACAAAATGTTGATTTGTTATTGCAATCTCTCTTCAACTCTTTGAAGTCTGTTTTCTTTTTAGAATATTCAAATTTAAGTTTGTGTCAAATACTCACAAATATGTATGAACAATAAATATGTTTCAGTTGATTTGTTTTTCTATGCTGGGAGTTTATGACTATATCCTAAATGGATTTTACTGCTTTTCCACACTTTGAGAATATGCCAGGGTATTTATTGTCTGATGACTTGAGTAATTTGATGTGGCTTTGTACTGTGTTATGTAATATTCCAGCTACATCATGAGGGATACACAAACTATGGTCTTCACACCCTACCTATGTGGGGATTCAAATCTTTATAGGGCAGTGAGCCAATGCTTTCATCACAGGGATTCCTCAGGGACTAATTCAGAAATGCATTATGGGGTGCAGGGGAGATATCGTATCTTTAATAGGGCTATATGTTACTAACAAAAATCCACCATGTAACATACCATTTGTTCATGCCCCCCTACAAAAGAAAATAGCATCCCTAAATAATGTTCTACTTTGTAACATTTTTTAGCTGTCACTTTTTCATGCCATGACATGGAATCTCCAAAGACACTTAGCCTGACAACCTTATCTAGTCACCTCTTTCAACAAGCATAGGTTGCTTGAACCCTGTATTCTCCCCAGAGGGTTAACAAACAACTATAGGATACATGTAAATGTGACACGGTTAACTGACCATATTAGATTTCAAATACAGGCAACAATCTCAATTTTTATATCAAACATAATCGTGATTTTTTTCATTCTTTTAAATGAAACAAGAATATTTTCATTTGAACCACAGGGGCAGAAGGTCCGGTGTTCGATCCCTGGCTGAATCATCCCAAAAGACGCTAAGAGATGGTACTTGTTGTTACCCTGCCTGGCGCTTGGGATTAAGGGGCTCAAACAAGGACTGGTGGGCTCCAAGTCAGTATACTGTGCCTGAGTGAGGTTAAACTGCTGCATGGTATCTCAGTGGGCTAGCACTATAAATCTGGCATTAGTATGGACTAGTACAAGCAGCCACACACACAGCTATAAAAGTGCAATAATCTTGGACCGTCTTTAAACCCAATTTCACCTCACCACCTCACCATAGTGACCGACACAATGTTTTGGGTTGTTCACAAGATCTAACCTAGACTAGAATTGGTTTGCTTGTTTGTTGCTAACGCAATAGGGAGTATTTTAAATATGTCATGACGGTCTATAAATAATGGAGTCGAGGCCAGACAAACCAGTGGTTGATATTATGAACAACGTTCCACATCGGGGTACAGTGATACGCAATCATCAAAGCCCCGAGCTTGATCTCCTGGTCCATTTAGTTGCCTGGTCCCGTTCCTCAAAGCTATCGTAGCACTACGATGATGATCGTAAGCTTATGTTAAAGTATGGGACTTACAATCACCTTAGCGCTAAGATCGCTTTGAGGAAAGGGGGCCCCGGCTCTTCCGATGGACCATGCCACGTAGTGACAGCTGATGACTAGTGACCAACAGATGCCTATAATAGACTACGCATTTTCAATTCCAAATAGACAGGAATAAAAAGATGAACAAAGACCTATAAAACATCAAGATTTCAAATTGCATCTTAGCTAATGCACTATTTGAAGTGGGTTCGAATCCCGGTTTGCCTCGATGATGTTTCTAGGTTTGTCGGCACTATATACGTTCTCATAGGTTTCACCAAAGCGAAAAACGTCTGAGACCTGCATCACTTCGGACTTTACTCCCACATTTAGTTACTGAGTTACTCCACATGATACATTTCACAACTGACTTATTATTACTTCATCATAACTAAATAGTGTATTCTTGAATCGTCTGACAATGGCATACGCCTTAGATCCAAGGGAGCGTTGGGAAAGCCTTGTGGTTAAAAGCGTTTGCTCGTCACACCAAAGTCCCGGTTTCGATTCCCAGATGGGTACAATGTGTGTAGCCGTTTCTGGCGTTTCCCGCCGTGATATTGCTGGAATATTGCTGTAAATCCAAACTCATTCACTTAGCTACAAATGCTTGTAAGAGGCGACTAACGTATCGAGTGATCAGGCTCACTGACTTGATCGATGCAGGTCATCGTATCCCAATTGCGTAGATCGATGCTCATGATGTCAGTCAGTGGATTGACTGGTCCAGACTCGATTATTTACAGACAGCCGTCATTTATCTTGAATAATGCTGAGTGCGACGTTTAATAACAAACAAACCATCCTCACTCACGTTTGGGGAAATAGTGTTGTGAGATTCCTCCCATATTTTCCACGCCACAACTGCATGCGTGTCATTGTAAGCCGAAGGCGTAGAACGATGCTCATAATATCAACCACTGGTTCGACTCATGTAAGTACACGCCGCTGACATGTAGCATTTTGGTAAATGTTTCTTTAACAGCAAAAAAATGTTTACACTCTTTTCACATAGTATTGAAAGTCCCGACGATGTCAGTGACTGCCTTTCAAGATCATCTTTTTATACTTTGCATTCACGTTTCCTATAATGGACGTTGTTGTGTTCATAGTTTGCAGAATAGAGACAGGTCATGATCCTTTCCATTAGCGCCATGGCGATTCCGGAGCGGAATGGGTCATGCCCTTCGTGACCAACTCGTGTTATTCCGGGACAAGTCGGTTACGGAAAGGGGCGAATGGTGACGAATGAGGTCATGCTTGTATAGCATAGAGCATCGGGTGTTTCCGTGTGACCTGGCCGACAGGGTCATGTAACAGTAACAGAAAGCGCTGGTTTGCCTGGTCCAAAACTCAGGAACAGCGGCCGTGATAGAGCTGGAATATTGCACAGGCCTGATAGACGTGATACGTCGGGACTTTAAGTAAAATGTGTATAGACCGTGGACATGTTTTTGCTGTTACTTCTTAAAGCACCTTAGGAAGCCCAGATTGTCGGGATGTGAAGTGGGTGGGGTGAAATGGGGTTTAACGTCGCGTTTAAGATTATTGCACTTATAAAGCGACGTGCATGCACGTGTGTGTTTGTGTGTGTCTGCTTGCACCGATTTATAGTGCTAGCCCACTAAGATACCATGACGCAGTTTAAACATGAATAACCCACTCAGACACAGTATACTGACTCCGAGCCGCCCAGTCCTTGTTTTAGTCCCGTAATGCTGATCGCCAGACAGGGTAACAACAAGTACCATATTTCAACGTCTTTTTGTACGTGATATGAGGACTAACGCCGAATATCTCACACCTATGATCATGGGATAAAAGAGTGTATGCTACTTTACGCCGCAGTCAGCAATATCCAAGTCAATACAACCACAACCTGTCAAGAATCGAGTATTGGCCGGGCAACCAGAGATGCATGATAGCACGAGCAATGCGAATCACATATTGCACTCACCGGTAAATACATAGGCGTGTATTGTTGCCCCTGTGCAGCAGCTCTAAGCACGCGGATTTACAAACGCAAACATGAAAAGACAATGGCAGTTGAATCTTTTTATTTAAAATTGAAATGTAAAACACATACAAAACAACATTATCGGACAGGCAATATCACCTATTGTAATATCACAAGAATGGTAATGTTCAATTGCACAATATCAATACATATCATCTCATAAACAACAATAAAAAAATATGTTTTAAAAATGTTGAAAAAAACCTCAAAATTAGACAATTAAAATAGTTTGGTGTATTTAAAAAGAAATTACAAAAACCTTCAAATTAAGTATAATTTGCATAAAAATTATATCAAATATTTTGGCACTTTTGGAACAAGTACGGCGAACGATCTAGTCATACTTTGGCATACGCGGGCTCTTCACTAAATTCACAAAACATCTACATTGAAGTGGGAATTGAAACATTATCTTTATCTGCTACAAGGGACATAAAATCCTATTGGCTCTCTGCTACTGGGAACCCGTCTTCAGTTAACAAGAATGTCACGTAAGTTACATCGACGCTGACAATGTCCTATTCTCTGCCTTTGATTAACTTGGTCCAACAATATAGATACGAATTGATAATACCTATCTATTGGAACACACACATATATAAGAAACGTCTATTCCTTTCCAGCATACATCGTGAATAATATTTATCATCATTATTATTTCAGTGCCCGTTGTAGTTAAATAGCATCTGAAACCCTTACAAATTATTAAAGCACTTTATAGGACGGATTTGATCTGTGTAAACTTGTGAAATTCTTCACTCGCGTTTTGTCGGAGTTATTCGTCACCACTCGTGCCATTCCGGTTACTCCCCATTGCCGATTACTCCCCGAATACAGGCGAGTGGTGGCGATCGTTTCTCAGATAACATCAAGGGCGAGGTGTCTGCAGTGAACTCGTACAAAAAAGGAACCATTTACAACTGACAGTAACTCATTTAAAAAAAAAAAACAGCATTAAATTTCCGGTCATATTATTTTCAAAATCCCCCCAAGTGCCCGTGGGATGTAAATAATCTGACATACGAAGCTGTGGGTGACTAAAATGGGAATGTTTCAATTCCAAACGAGTTTACGATATAGCTGACCCCTCTGACACCCCGTAGTAATGTACATCTCGACATGGTGGGGGTACACATCCTCCGAGGTACCAGAGAGTGCTTTCATGATGACTAAATGACGATAAACAGCCTTCAAATACATTACCACGAAACACACATCTCCTCTCACTCTCCACGACATACAAACACAAACTCGCAGACAATTCCTAAGCATGATCATTGCGTGTCTCAAAACATCAGAAATCACAATTCAAATAGTAGCCTCGATTATCCAGTGTAGCATATACTATAAGTCACTGGATAATCGAGGGTGGTAAAATTGAGACTCTCTGGTTTCACTGATGAAGGACATAGCACCAAAACCTTGAGTGACAAGGTCAAACATTTTTTGATTATCAAGAACGATATTTTGCGCCATTTTTAGGGGTGTCTCTCTGTTTTCATTTCGTCATCACATCGGATCTAATAATAAAACATACTTGAAAGCAGAAAACTTGATGCTGGCAGAATTAATTTTAAGTTTTAATCAGGTTAATTTCGTGACGATGCCGTGACTGCTGACCTCTGTGGCATTCACCTTCGTCTAAATTGTGCGCATGACGTTCAGATATCTCTTAGGTATTGAAACCTGCCAGTTCTCATAACTTTTCCGAACACCATCTTAAACATCTTTACAAGCTTTTACATGAACACAAATCTCAATCTTGGACGGTCTCAAGCCCACAGCATCCTATGCCGCATTGTACGTTGTGGATACGTCAAATCGTTCCCCAAGTGCGATCTCTCCCGACTCGGACACGATGACGGACTTTAAGGGGTGGTCGTTGTCGTCGGTGGCCACGCTGGCGATCTCCTCCACTACGTCCATGCCGTCAAGAACCTTGCCGAAGACGACGTGTTTTCCATCCAGCCATGGGGTCGGCTTGCAGGTGATGAAGAACTGACAGCCATTGGTGTTACGACCTGTGAAATACGAGTTGTGATTGGTCATGAGGTTGAGACTGCACACGTAGAGTAACAGTTGACATCAGCATTCTTTAAAATAATTGTAATTTACTTCTTTGAAAAGAAATTTTCCTCCTATGCCGTTAGGAAACTAGACTTGGTTTAGTCTAATCTAGACTTGCCTAGGCTTTTAGTAAAAATGTTTATTAATATATATTCATGGCACAGGACTACTCAACACGTTGAAAATATTTATAATGCATTAGAGAGGAATCATGCAATTCATTTGAAATTCAATAAGAAAATCAGTCAATTCGATCAATTCAATATTTGACCTATCAGAAAGATTGTTGTCAGTCATTTCGACAGAGGCGATGAACAGTCTACGTGTGGGGAGCCCGGATGTGCCCCTCTCGTGTCTATTTTTCAATTGGCAAACGTGCATAACGAAACAAATGTGAACTTGTTGTAAGATATCCCCCTTTGCTTTGTAAGTGTTATATTACCTAACTCTGTTGCCATTTACAACCAGTTGTTACTCAGTATGCTTAACGACTATGACTGTTTTACTTTGAGACATTTTGAGATGCAAACTATACACACATCAACACATATGTGTTGAGGAGAGGTTCCTTGGCCAAAGTACTTATACAGTAGACCACGGTTATAACGAACTCGAGGGGACCACTAATTTTAGTTCGTAATAACCGTAGTTCGTTATAAGCATACATACAGCATATATACAACAAATGGTCGGGACTAAAAATAAGTTCGTTATATCTGTCAGTTCGTTATAAGCGTAGTTTACTGTAGTTACACGAATATTCTGTTTGGTTTGTTGTGCATGTTACGGAAAGGGGCGAGTGGTGACGAATGCTAACACTTATCACATGACCGGAAACATTTAAGAATTGACTTCGACATATTTTTGGGAGTTTAGGGAGATATAAACGTAAAGACCGGTGTGCAGAAAGTGCGCACCAGTTTTTTACGTTTATATCTCCATAAACGTAAAACATATTGAAGTCAATTCGTAAAAATAAATATAGTCAACAATAGTTCTTCACAGGCTGCTTATTGTATGATTGACACACACAAAACCGAAGACAACTAACGAAATAGGTGACATCGTTCAGCGCAATAAAGCAACACAAGCCCCGCCCATTCTATTATCAGCCAATCAGGAAACAGTAGTTTCTTAGTTGGCGTGGCCTAAATAAATTCAGTTTACATCTCCCATTCACACCGGTCATTGTGTGTTCGAAGTTGCGAAGTAACAGTGACGTAGCCAGCCGAAAATTTATTTGAATCAAGTTGGGAACAAGTGATACTCGTACAAATATTTGCACCAAAGCACCATTTACTGTGATCTGCGATCTGTTCCGAAGTCAACGGTACCCCGAGGTGTATTCCTTGAAAACAATGTCTTTGCAAAGGAGAGGCTCGTGGTGTCAGTGCCAACGGGAATGTATATACGTAGCCTTACGTAATTCTCCCAGGAAAATCATTTTTTTATTAAAATAACAGTTAAATAGAAAATGGTTTATGATGATTATAAACTTCATTTGTTCATTGAGTTAGAGATTTGTGAAATCCATATTTGCACTCAAATTTGAATATATTATATAATTGAATGTCTGTCTAGATTAGAGTTATCTCCCCTCGGCGAATGCTTACCGGCATTGGCCATGCTGATCCAGCCAGGGCCATAGTGCTTCAGGGTGAATCTCTCGTCGTCGAAGTAACCCCCGTAGATGCTCTTGATGCCGGAGCCGTCTTTCTTGTCGTAGTCGCCACCTGAAAGTACAGATATGCATGGTGAGGCAGGAAGACACATCTTTACATACTCCATAGAGACACCATCTTCCCGAGGCAAGGGAATTAACTGACTCTTAAAAGTCCAGTTTCCACTCTTGCCGAACTTGGCTGGAATTTCGTGGCTCGATCATAGCGCCACCAGTGGCTATTACGAGTTATGTCCCTTCTATGCCTCTCTTATGGACCAATCAGATTCCACCTCTCGTATTACTTGCACAAAATGGCGGCGCCCAGTCAAGACGATCTGATCGATAATCAAGGTCTATATTGTGATAAAACGGGTCTTACATCGCGAAGTGTATCAAATCACGTGAGCTACTTGATTAAAAACATGAAAAGATTTGGATAATATCTGTTGAAAACGATTTGGCGGTGCACGTGCTTTGCAAATCCTGCAATCGACCTAAAATCTGCATGACAGTTAACGAACCGGATTTCGATTTCGTTGGGCGATTTTGATTGGACTGTGATTTTGATCTAACTCCATAAAACCAGCCTAGTTCGGCAAGGAAAAACTGGACGTTTAAAGTTAAAGTTTAAAGATGTAGAGACACATATCGCGGGCAAGTGTACATATCTTTAACATATTCACTATGTGCAATCTTCTGGTTTACTGCTTTTATCAATGTTTCGATGTTGATTCGTTCTCCAGTGTGATAATCTACATCGAAACGTCGATAAATGCAATAAACCTAAAGTTCTTATCCATAAAATTGTACGTTTTCTTATTCACTCACCAACTCCTGATGCCAATTAAACGTTATTGTCACTGATTTCGTATTGTTGATTGCAGTGTTTTGTGCATGGACTGTATCCATAAAGTTGTACTTTTCTTATCCGGTACTGCGTAATGATGCAACCCTAGTCCCGCCCACCCTATTATCATCGAATCAATAATCACTAGACCGCTAGAGGGCGTGGCCTATTACTTTTTCGGTTTATGGAAACACAAATTGCTTGCTTTATACCATGGAATCACTTTCAATAAATTTAAATAAAATTAAATAAAAATCTATAAAATTCTTGATGACCCTGTGGATCTAGTGGGCGTGGCATATTTCTTTTTCGGTTTATGGGAACATAGGCAATAAATTGCTTGCTTAGCCAATCAAATACCATGGGCTCGAATACAATATATTTATATAGACAACACTGGACATAGATTGTCACTGACCTTGAATCATGAAGTCCTTGATGACCCTGTGGAAGCTACTTCCGGCGTAGCCAAATCCGAGGCTGCCAGTGGCAAGAGTGAAGAAGTTGTCCACAGTCTTGGGAGCGGTCTCTCCGAACAGGCCGAACACGATCCGCCCGGCAGACTGACCCCCGATAGCAATGTCGAAGTACACCTTCTGAGTCACAGTTGTCTCCCCTGCCTGAAGATATTGGATAAAACGATAGTAGTAATGGTGATGAAACAAGTACCACGCCACAATCAAAGTTGTTCACATTTCATTTCTAAAAGTGATTTATGCAAAATAACTAGATTTGGGGAGAAAATAATAAGTTCTTTCGTGCAGGTTTTCTAAAGAAATGACCTTTAGTTTCGGAATAGTCTATTGTACAGACCTTAACACAAAATAACCACAAATCCCAAGCATGTCTACAACACTTTGGGAAAGTCTACTATTCTTAAAATCCAGGGATATCCGAAAATGAAGAAATTCTCTTTTCTTCTATTTTTTATAGATCATAAGATAATTTTACAAATCGAATCTTAAAATATTTTCATTCAGAATTTCCAGGATCGTTAATTTTAACTAGTTTCGATTGATCCAATTATCGTTTTTGGTACCTAATCATCCTGTCCTCCCAACCAAAGGGGTCACACCCTCACATGACCAAACGGCTGCTCAAAGCTGCGTTAAACCAACCCCATGTTCCCGAGTATGCCCCCCTCCCCCCTCCCCCCCCTAGACACGCACCATGCCACAGACTGGCCATCTGGCGGTGACGTCACCATGGCGCAACTACAGACCAGGGGGGCATGAAGAAACCCGGAACAGCTATGCAGAGAGTAACCACCTGTTGTGTGTGTTTAGCATCTGGTCGCCATGTATTACTCAGCCCACGTGTATGGACTGGGTTACTGCCCCGAAATGTTTATATTGATATACTGCATATTTGCTGCGTTAACGATAGAGAGGAACCGGTTTATTCTACGAGGAACCTGCTGATGTGAGCAAACAGTTAATTACATTTTGAGGAATATAAACGGTGGTGTAGATCGAGAAATCTGGAGATCACAAGAGTCACTCTCGGTTTGTGTATCATTAAAATGTACCCGGGTACAAAACGATATATCGAGTTATTCACAGATTTGCGTTGCTTCCCATCTTCCTGAGGCAAGGGTCAGTTAATTCCCTTGCCTCGGGAAGATGGGTTGTTTACGGCATACTGATGAACTTTAATTAATAAAACGTTTCAACGAACTGCACCACAATATAGATACATGACCATGCTTTGAAACTTATAAAATACGGATTGGGTCTAGTTATCGATATATCGTTTTGTACCCAGTGCATGCTGGGTACATTTCGATAATAAACCGATCGAGAGTGACCCTGTCAGCAAGAGTAACTGCATAGAACGTTTTGAAGATTCCTCATAATATCATGCATTAAATCTACAGTTGTAAGGGTTAACTAGGCCATGTATTTGAACACTTGTGCTGAATCAGCGAGGGAAGACATGCCAATTGCATCTCACAACCGGTTATGGTTCCAAATTCAAAATGGCCGCCAGTTGCCACGCACAAAGGGTTAATGGGTTACACACTTCCTCGTTATACGTCAAATGTCTGCCTCCAAAATACATCTGTTTAAAACTACATAAATACAATACATGGAAAGGACACTATCCTATGCTTGCAAAAACTGAAACATTTGACAAAAATAAAGTTTTACGAAACTCTTTTAAGCAACTCAAGTTCAACAGCGGTTGAAATATGCTTATACAAACATATCCTACGTGGAATGCAATCCTGGAACTTATAATAAAGTCTGTACACAGGTTTAGAGTGAATATTTGCTTGAGTCACCATGCAGTTAACCCAGTGCAACAAGCCCGACAAAGGAATGCAGCCTGACTTGAGTGCATACAGAAGCATAGCGTGGAGCAGTGTCCATGAACTGCTTACATTTAACCTACACACACCCATATTAAACAATGTTATACACTTACATAGCAGCAAGACAGCAGGGCCGACAAGAGCAGAGAGAGTAGTGGTGCAGCATCCATGTTCAGTGTTCAAGTTGAGAGTGTTCCACGTTCGTTCGTCTGCTTTCAGTGCCACGATTTCTCTGCCACGTTGCTGATGTCGGTACCGAGCTAGCACATCCTTTCGTATCTTGACCTGTTTTATTGCCTCCCGAATCCCCCCTCCGCCCCCCTCCCGTATCGGGTTCCGCTCGGCGTTCTTACTGTACGCTGGAATCGCGATGGGGATGATGCGACCACTCAAGTATGTCCATAGGAAACGTGGCAACAAAGTGGCTGTGTTTGTTTAACGAACACGCCACTATTGTTAGTCACAGTGTACAATCTACATGTTTGTCTTGCATAATTGTGACTGGACTTGTGAAACACCCATGTGAAAATATTTCAAACTGAATCCCATCTCCCACTCGAGGTCACTGTATGGCACGGAATGGGGGGACTTGCTCTGGTCCTTTGGAGAGGGATGAACAGTACAGATATTCTGACACCTCGACGTATATAAATAAAGCAGTCAAAGATAAAAATGAAATCATATCAATACAAAAACAGATTTTATGAATACCAAAAACTCGCATTAGATACTCGCACTCGCACACGTTAGTCCCAAAGAGGGACAGGTCAGCCGAAATTGCTAAGCCAGAAGGCGACTTTTTCAACACTTATAGCAACAACAAAATTTTCTGACACAATTTCTGTTTTGTTTTTTTAAATGTCAGTATGAAGTAGTCATCAAGTAATTGTTTTGTCAAAATAACATTTGTAAAAAATACAACATGCATTTATTCATGAACTTCATTGCCAGGAGCCATTTTGTTTGCCTCTTGGATTACGGGTCATGTTACTATCAATGTGGATTGTGTGTATGAATAGTACCAAGATAAACAAATTCGCATAGAAATTCTCGAAAGAGCTCTTGTAATTATTATTTCTGTAAAATCATTTCTGACTGTAAACTGCCGGGTAAAAGAAAATACATGTTTGATGGTGGCTAAAACTGAAACAAACAAGAAATTGTGATGCTTTGATACATGTATCATCGTTGCTTTGGGCATTACGTTTGCAGTGTTTCGGCGTTTTGATTACGTTTGTAATGTTTAGTCAAACCCAATTCTTAAGTCTACACGTTCTTTTGTCCAGCAGCCGTGGAGGACAGACCACACAAAGGACAACGTGAAACAAAAGAATCGGTGACGGAGAATAGTTAAGTCTTTCCTATTGTAGAACTAACATGCACCACGTGTCCTTAAAGGGGTCCCACTCTCCCGGCACCCTTTGATGAGTATCCTTAAATAACATACTTGACCTACTTTACAGGTGATGTCCAGCCACAAAACTCTGTCACTATCCATAAGAAACCTCTGCCAAAAGCAGAGTCGATTTTCAATTCTGACCACACCATGAGCTTGCGCCCATGAATCGCCATCAAACACTGATGATACCAGGCGTTCACGAAAAGATGAGCGTATTCTTCTACCCTATCAGTGGCACCCGTCACAAACACACGCAAAAGCACGTCAATATTGTTCACCTGAAAAAATCGCGAAATCATGGATATCCAGAACTGAATACACGCTTGCTGTTAGGTGGGACTAAGTGCCTGAGTACAGAAAAGGACATTGTTTGTTTGTTGTTTAACACCTCACTCAGTAATATTCCAGCTACATGACGGCGGTCTGTAAATAAACCAGAAATCCAGTGATTGACATCATGAGCATCAATCCACGCAATTGGGATACGATGACATGCATCAAACAAGTCAGCGAGCCTGACCACCCGATCCCGTTAGTCACCCAGTGAGATGCGAGATTCGGAGCCTGAAGAAATTCTTGACTAGCTTCATTCAGTTTAACGTTACAAAAAGGGCTTGGCGAAAGAGAAAATAATATGGTTCAGGGACTGTAAGACTGACAAGGAGAAGGCATATGTGTATGTGTTTAGAGGTATAATCCAGGGATGGAAATTAACCAAGAACATCAACTGGTCCAAATAGAGATAACACATAGCAATACCCCTCGCAAATGTTTTAAAATTCTACTAGCCTTCAGGATACCTTCAACATTAAGAAAACTGGTAAGAACTAAAGTACTCATGGAAATGAAAACAAAAAATGTTTTGCTGTATTTAATAATCGACACAAAGCATTACGTAGATGTAAATACGAAATAACAAAACAACTGGAAAAGTACTAGTCTGGATTTGCTAGTTTTATTTCAGTGCTCAATACAAAATGTACTTTACAGGAGGTAATTTGTAGGCACTTTCAACATTCAAATATAAATCTAAGTCCAAATTGACATGGCAGAAACAGGCTATTGGGAAACTGCAAATTAGCCTGGAAAAAAGTTATCAAAACAACAATAAAAATAACAGCTATATTTATGTACATAATAATAATGACATGTAAGTTGTTGTTTGAGAAGGGAATATGTTACTTTTACGTTCTGATATTTTGACAGTGATTCACTATCCCATAATGCCACTCACAAATCACTAACCACTGACAAATCACATGCACGTGGGTTTCAAGCACCTGTTTTCACCTGTCGTCAAGGTGTCATAGGTCATGGACAATCACCTTGATCTACTAACACCTGGTTATGCTCAGTTTCACAATAGTCTGTTTTGTTCATATTTGTACTCACTTTTACCTGTAAAAAGACCTTTGATACGTTGTATTTGTGCCAAGGCCCAATTAGTACTAATTGAGTTGTTTGAATATTTATATATTTTGTATATTAACTGCATTTATTTAAAATCTGAGATCGAAAAAACAGTTTTTTTTCATTTCCGTGAGTACTTTAGTGCTAATATTGCCATCTCTATGGGGTTTCAAATCACAATAACAACATCTGATTGAAACAACTGCGGTTTCAATTACAATCAGTTTAGCGCGGTTAAATTTAAGATAACCTCGTTCTACTTTGAAAATAATTTTATAATATTCTTTTCCTAATTATAGAGACGAATCAGGAAGCTTTTGACGTGAAGTGATATTTCCACGGCGTTCCCGTTTATGTTCCGATGAGCTAGTCCCTCATACACGCTGAAATATAAATATATCCGACACTACCATGCAGGACTTCAGACACTGGATTTATGAAAATGAAGAGACTGGCTCCTTCCTTTTACATATTAAAAAGAGGGTCTATTTACCAAAATATATTTAACTATTTTCAGAGACTAATTGTTGGTCTACGAGGGATCCAACAAGTAAGTTGCCAGCCAATGTGCATCCTTCCATGGTGTGTGCCACGTCCAGTGAGAGATAGCAGTGTTATCTTCAACTGCATGTGCTTGATCGGAATAACCGCGTATATTAATTTTCTTCAAATTTACTTGGTCAGATCTTGTGAAATAGAGTTTATTGCACTTATATAGCGACGTGTATGCATGTGTGTGTTTGTGTGGCTGCTTGTACTGGTCCGGACTAATGCCGATTTTATAGTGCTAGCCGACTGAAATACCATGCCGCAGTTTAACATGAATATCCCACTCAGACACAGTATACTGACACCGAGCCGACCAGTCCTTGTTTTAGCCCCTTACTGTCGGGCGCAGGCAGGGAAACAACAAGTACCATGTTTTAACGTCTTTTGGTATGACAGGGCGGGGGCGGACGCTCTACCTCTAGACCACGGAGGTGGTGTTCACATCTGGAATCCCACGGAAAGTTGGTGATGTTATAACATTTTGGTTTGTTATAAAAATTAAGTTTGAAAATTTGGATGAATTGTTTTTACAGATTGAATGCTACTTATCAACTCGCGGTGATTGACTGTTTTATTTAAGCATTAACAACATTTGACGGTGAATATTAGTGGGTGATAATGGCGTGATATACATCTGTACGTCGTAAAGTTTGAAGTTGGTAGTTCACAGAGACACAGGCATTGGTTTCATCTAACAGGATCGGGTGGTCAGGCTCGCTGACTTAACGCTTCTGTTATTCAGACATGCTAGAGGCTTTGATTATGTTAAGGATGGATTATATATGTATGTCTTGTTGATATGTGACAGCTATTCCAAAGCGAGAAGAGAATGTTTCGCTAATCATCCCATCAATCCACCAATAACTGAAGCCTTTTTAAGACTTATAAATGTCAACCGACAATATTGATATCATTAAATGTTTGATTACAATCCTTTGTCACATCGTAAAGATTAGAAGCAAATCATCTATCCCAGTAACATAAGGGGCGGTCGGGTAGCCTAGTGGTTAAAGCTCTCGCTCGTCACGCCGAGGACCCGGGTTCGATTCCCGACATGGGAACAATGTGTGAAGCCCATTTCTGGTGTCCCCTACCGTGATATTGCTGGAATATTGCTAAAAGCGGCATAAAACCAAACTCACTCACTCCCTGTAACATTAAGTGTACAGTACTCCAGTCGTTTATTCAGCATGTACATTTAATTATATGTTTCCAGCTTCTTTGTATTATTGGCTTAGGGTCTAAAGTACTGAATAAAGTCATTCTGTCTGTCTGTCTCATTTTATTTATCAGTATTATAAATTTGTGGCTTCAACTTACAATACCGCCTAGTTAAATTTGAAAGTCCGTCTGTCATATCTAACCTAAAAGAATGAATGTCAAATCAATGTCAACAAATGCATTAGTATGACAATTGCGAGTATTAGGCGAAGGTGAATGTAAGATTATAGCCAAAATGCTGAAACATCAGCGGACGTTATACCCAATGTTGATGCAAGTACCTCCCTAAACCCACGTCGCCACGTAGTTGCATTGTTCAACAAGCACCTGCAATCACAGTCATGTTATCTGGCAAGGATACTTTGGGACTTTGGAGTTCAGGGGTATCTGAATGCCAAATTAATACATGTATTATCTATTGTGCAAAGTGTGTTTGTATCTTTTGTTTTATTGTGAAATGTGTTGTCGAGTGCATTTATGAAAAATATTAAGTATATATTTTTTTAAATGTCTTGAATTCCAGTATTCATATGAGATATTTCGCCACATTATAAGGATATCTTCATTACACGCCTCCGTGGTCAAGTGGTAGAACGTCCGTCCGGAGAGCGGAAGGTCCGGGGTTCGATCCTCGGCCGCGTCATACCAAAATAGATGGTTAATAGATGGTACTTGTTGTTACCCTGACTGGCACTCGGCATAAAGGGGCTAAAACAAGGACTGGACGGCTTGGAGTCAGTATGCTGTGTCTGAGGGGGGTATTCATGTTAAACTGCGGCATTGTACCCCAGTGAGCTAGCACTATAAATCGGCATCAGTACGGACCAGTAGAAGCAGAAACACACACACACACACACACACACACACACACACACGTACATGCACGTCGCTATATAAGTGCAATAATCTTCAACGCGACGTTAAACCCCATTTCACCTCACCTCACACGCACGTCTTGCTAGGAAGTTTACGTACGCTTCAGTGACTATTGAAGACATAATTGGTAGTTATTTTCCCGAAATGTACAAATGTATACATGTATTTATATTTCTACAACAACCCTTGTGTTGGTGTGGTATTATAATTCTCCGTGATTTCATATTATTGTTTTATGTTGACATTTGTCATTATATTTTGTACCGTAGCCTAAACTCAATATAACGTTTAACAGTGTTTAATGCATTGTTGTATTTGGTTGTTGGTTGTAGGGGTATTTTTGTTTGTTTGTTGTTACTCAGCATTCAGCAATATTCCTGCAATATTATGTAAAGTCCAGACCAGACAATCCAGTGATAGAGATTATGAACATCAATCTACGAAATTTGGATAAGATGACTTCGTCATCGAGCCCCGTAAGTCGACTCTTACGACAAGCATGGGTTTCTGAAGACCAATACGAACCCGGATTAAGACGTATGTGGAAATGAAGGTCGTGTTTATTTCCGGAGCATAATTCATAACTTGTTGAATGTTAATTAGGCAGGCATGGCAACAACAAATAGCATCTTTAAACTTTTGTATTGGGGTATATTTCAAACGCAGTAAGTGGACCAATCACAGACTAGACAACAACATTGCATAATTGTTGCATGTGTTGATCTTGACATTCTGCATAATTAAAATAGCAATTAATGTCTGTAACTAGTTACTTTTTATGACTAACATCCTGTTTGGGTAACATAAACCACCTGCTGTCCACGGAGATTAGAGATTACATCACAAATACTCTGTCAGGGATTAATCCCCTGAGTAGACAAATGGAGAAATCTTCTGTGTTGTTACTAATTCTTGGCATATGCTGTGCACATGATACTCAAACAGATGTTCGGAGGACACGTTTTAACCCTAGTGGCGGATAATTTCGATTGAGTGACGATTTATTTTTTCATTTTGTTTTCGTCTGTTTTACGCCATTTCCGTTAATTTTTTCACATTTGACTTCGGTTTACCATTTTTGATAAGCATGCCCTAAACTATTAAACCTTCATAGTTTCTATGTTAAGTACATTTGTCCTTTAACGCATTTTGGTATGAGGCCATTGGATCGAACCATCGACCTCCCGCTCTCCAAGCAGACGCTCCATCCACGAAGCCAGACACAACTTTGATTCCAAAACCAAGCTCTCAAAAGCACTAATTACTGTCATCCGGACAGACATATGAAGATACAGTTCTTTGATCACGTGAACATATTTTTATGGAGAGTAGTGAAAAATATGATATAACTGCGTAGACGTAATTGAGTGCTGACGAAGCGTCAGTACAATTCATGTTTTGAATATAATATCACTAACTTGAGATATTTTCAATTGAAAATCAATCACATGGTAAAATCAACTGATAGGTATGGTGTCTTTTGTTTCTCAGTATATTTCCCCTTTGTCACAGCACGGACCTATATAACCTGGATAGGAAACGCAACAGATAGCCTCAGGTCATCTACGCCGCGCTACCGGCGATTGTTTTTCCACCTCTGCCGGGGGTCATCGCCGAGGCTCATGGGTAGATTCACTCACCAGCTCTTCAACTTTTGTCCGCTTATCGCTCCAAAAAATCCGAATTTCCAGTGTTTTTCGCTTGAAAGGTAAGTGGATATTTTGTTTATATATTGTGTAATGGTATTAGAGACGAAATAAGACTTCTGAAAGTAATTATTTTTGTTTCAACTGTCTTTAGAAATGTGCACACCGGTCCATTGTTTTCGTCTTGCATCCAAGATTGCAGACAAGTGAAATCGTGATATTTGGCTGTTTTATTTCGCTAACTCCTTCGTTATCATCCAATAAAGTCCTTAGTTACAAGGGTGTGCTGAACATATGCTATCTGTACAGCAGTTATGTGTAAGAACATCTTTGATAATGTTATTTCACAACGAATTACGAGTCCATGAAAATCGATGTTTATGCAACAAAACTCGGAAATTTTTACACACACGCACAATTTGGGCGTGCTAAAACTTTTATTCTGATAGATATTTTTTCCCCAAAAAATTACAAACTAATACCTTATATACCAATAAGCAACTATGCGGTTTTGTAATTACGAAACATTTGTTAAATACTCTGTAATTAATGTTACAAAATATAGCTATAATTTAGCTTAAAATATAAGGAAATCTACTATAAATTCCCACTTGAAACATACATTTCATCTCAAATAATGTTTCACATGGGTAGGTGTTGGAGAAAAGAAATGATTCATAGCACATTATATTTTCAGCCCATATTTCATGTTCCTAATTTCTGAAGTGTAATTCACTAACTGGTAAAATAATTATATCCAAGACTTTTTCTGCAATAATAGGATCTGTATGTTTTTATATTATAATTATAGGTTTCAACTGTCAATAAATATTGCTACATGTCCCCATGAGTACATTCTTGTTGAATTAACATGAAAAATGATAAAACAGGTGCATTATATTCCATTAACAGATGCCACGCCGAAAGAAAATGCCAGGTATTGGCCAGAAAAAGAAGCACTATAAAAGAAAATCTTCAAAGGTGACAACTTCATTGGACAGAGACCACAGCCATGCTCAAGTGAACCATCATAGAACAGATGATCAAGTAATTGTGGAAAGGTTTGTTATTTTCTAGGTATATTACATGCCTTTTGCAAAATATAGAAAATATATCAAGTTGATTTAAGGACATTTTATTGATTGTTGTTAAATTTAATCATTTACATTAGTTGTAAAGTATGTGAGGTAAAATTGGGTTTCATGCCACATTCCAGGGTATTGCACTTGTATGGCGATGTTTTTTATGTAGCTGCTTGTAATAGCCTAGAGTAAAGCCAATTGATATAACATTTTTGTCACATTTAAATAATTTTTATTAATTTTATGTGCCAATCCAATTGAGATGATATATTATTCTAAATATCTTGTTCCAGTTCACAAGATGAGTTTGGTGCTAAATGGAGTGAAGCCTGGGATGCCTTCTACCTTGGACATGGATCAGGCACTCACAACAACACTTCCACTGAAGAACCAGAAGAAGTTGATTCAGACTGCAGTTCCGCTAATAGGTTCCATGTCATTTTACATAAAGTTTTCTGCTATGAATCACATGTGGACTTAGACAAGTTTGTCGAGAAACTATGGAGGGATAGAAGGTTTCAGTTATTTCAATTTTTGAAGAATGACATCAAGAGCCATACTGATGCATTGTCCGACTTCACAATTTCAAGGATAACTGATGATAACATCCAGCTTGTCCAACATTATCATGGAGAGTCTCCAACAGTCAAATTGTGTATGAACATAAGATCATCATTAGTTCCCTCTCTGCTTGTACACAAGATTGTGATTGACAGAGAACATGATATATGGACGGATCTTCCCAAAATTGTGATGTCATTTGGGGACCTTCAGAAGTTCTTTGATAGACTCCAACTTTGGGATGTTTGTGTAGGAAATCATGAGGAAGAGTTCACCTGTACAATGCCAAAATGGAGTTCTTCCTACACAAAGACGAACCAAGTTCTTGCATACCATGAAGCCGATTTCTGTGCGAAGCGAGATGATATTGAGTACCACTCTACCATTCGATCAACCAAGTGTTCCATGTTGACTGTTAGAAAAAGGTGTAGCCATTGCAGTTTGTATTATACAAGTCCGTGGTCACAGTTAGCGCATTAAGTCTCATAAGGATTACAATCTACCGACCTTCGATAAACGTTGACATTTCATTCAAATTATTTAAGGATAATCAAGTTTTAAGGTAAGCTCTCACATAAGGGACTTATCTTGTGAAGAAGATATATACAATTCTGGTTGCAAATTGGACTTTGCTTTGCTGTGATTACTAAGATGACGGAAAGATGATAATCCTCCGTGCCAATTTTGAACAAATGTCAGTAGGGTCTATATGTGATAATGTTCTCTGATGTAGTTTGTTTATTTTTTTCTTAATGTATACTACCGACAGGAAATAAGGCAACTGATGAAGATTTAGTGAAGAAGTAATGACTATAAATGTCTGTAAAATAAATGTGTAGATAAATATCTGGTGTGTCCACCATGTTGGGCGACACATGCATGACACCGTGATGGCATACTGTTAATTACAGTAAAATACGTTTATAACGAACACGCTTATAATGAACTGACGGATATAATAAACTGGCTTTTTGAAGTCCTGGCCATTTGCTGAATATATTCTGAATATATGCTTATAACGAACTACGGTTATAACGAACTAGAATTTGTGGTCCCTTTGAGTTCGTTATAACCGTAGTTTACTGTAACTTGCTTATGGTTGCCCCTTGTATTGCCCGCCATTCTGCCTGAAGAGCCACCCCAAGCTGGGCCAGGTTGGCGGATGCTGAATCTCTGGCCCGAGAACGTCCCAATGAGGCTCCATTGGGGACACGTCAGGGGACCTAGCCGGCCAATCCAATGTCCGTGTGCCTCCTGTAAATGGGATTGTAAACATGGTGTAACGACATTGGTGCACAACGAGTTCCTGGTGATGCCTAGCCCATCCCAATCGTTGCCGCCTGTGGTAAACTGTTAGGGTCACACCCTTCACAGGATGTCTTGCTTTCTGGCTGGCTGCATTGAACCTGTTTTTAACAGTAGATGCATGTCGTAAGAGGCGACCAACGGGATCGGGTGGTTAGGCTCGCTGACTTTGTTGAAGGTCCAGACCGCCGTCATGTAGCTGGAATAGTATGGTGGCCGAGAGGGGACATCGCTTTCTCGCTTTCTCGCTTTCTCGCTTTATCGCTCTATCGCTTTCTCGCGGTATAGCAATATTCCCTCTTGGCCACGAAATGGGTCGCATGCGTTACGTGTTTCTTTACGATAAAAAGTATATACGTAAAACAACATTAATGAATTGTCCTCAGTGTGTGTGTGTGTGTGAAGTGGGTTTTAATCATAAAAGAGAGCTGAGATTTTTCCAGTCGCATTTCAAATTATACATATGGACGGAATGTTGAAATTTTCACACTACTACTTAAATATAATTTAACAGTACAGACACATGTGCTTTTATAACAATCCACGTATTTCTGCGTAAAAAAGAATTTGATTGATTTATGGACCTATATAGCTATTGGATCCCCCGCCCCCAGGTCAAGTTATCAAAACAAATAGCAAATCACACCGCTCAATAGCGCTGAGTAGTACGTACTTCCTAAAAAGCAATAGTGTTTTCCTAAAAACAACGCTTATATCAATGTTTATTCTGTTTGCGGAGTAGATGTCATCAAAGTGGAAGTCCTCACCCAAGCAATGGTAATACTACTCGATGTCCATTATGTAATTTCTAGTTTTTGGATGACATATTGTTCTCAGTTACCGTGATGTGGAAATAGATAGTTGATTGGTTTTATATTCAAGTTGGTATTTCCGCTATTCAACGTGTTCAGTGAGGCCGTCTTATCAACAGTCATTTCTGAGACATAAATGCAAAGTACAATTACCGTATTCAACGTAATAAGCGCCCCGCTCTAATAAATGCCTACGGCGATATTTGCTAATATATTGGCTAGTGAACAATCCCAATTAGCACCCCTTCAGATTGATTAATGTACACAAGACTTATTGATTCGCGTATAATACGCACTCGTTATATGCACACTTAATTATGGGCAATTAAATTTGGGAAAAATATATCTGTCGTACATAAACATTTCAGGCTGTTAGCATAAACCACGAAATTAATCTTTCAACTCAACTTTTTTTTCACCAAAATAATATTCTAATTTTGAGAGCGCCCCGGGCGCTTATTACGTCGAATACGGTAATTAAGTCTACGCTTATTTTTTTGCATTTATAATTAACTCGAACGTTATTTTCAAGATTTATAGAACATACTATTCAAAAGAAGTTAAAGACCACCCGATTCCTTCATATGACTATGGTTATTCATTAGAGGAAGCGACAGAGCGACAAAGCGATAGAGCGATAAAGCGATAGAGCGATAAAGCGATAGAGCGAGAAAGCGATAGAGCGAGAAAGCGATAGAGCGATAGAGCGAGAAAGCGATAGAGCGAGAAAGCGATAACGCGATAGAGCGAGAAAGCGATATTTCCCATAATGCCGGACATATTTTTCCTGATATTTAGTGATCCTGTAATTCTCACCGCTATTTTGCCTCTTATGATTAGATTTTTTTAACATCTTGTAGTAGATAAATATGTTACAAAATACACAAGTAATTTTTTCTCGTTTAGCTTGCATATTTTCTTGTAGTGTAATAAATAAGCAAGATTCACAAAATACAGATAGTCACTGTTTATATTTTCATTTTGTTCATAGTATCGCCCCCATTCCTCCATCAAACTTAAAACTGATAAAAAGGAGATCATATATGTCAGTTTTATTAGCCAGTTTTTATTGTTTGCAACGTCCAAAGAATTATTTTTTTCGGTGATTAGATTTTGAATTGAAGACGAATATGTGCTCGTCCGATTTCGGGACCACAATTGTGTTCATTAAGTTGCATGTACATTATGCATACATGTACACAGTTATGTTTCCCTTACAAAATACAGATGAATTAGATATATGTCTCTACCTTAAGTCACATATACGACTTTCGAGAGCGTCTTCAACCCGTAACCCCATTCCTTGGACAATAGAAATGAAATGCGTTGTAAATATATTTTTTTAAACAACTCGTTTCTTATAATGACTTTCGATCAAACTGTCATCGGGAATTAAATTTAAATTCTCTATCCATTTAAACTGTATGGTTAACAATTGTGCGTTCTGATGTGAGTTATTTTGTTATCTTATCCATTTTACACACACACACACACACACACACACACACACACACACACACACACACACACACACACACACACAACACTCACACACAACACTCACACACTCACACACTCACACATAATTTTGACAAAACTATACTTAAGATATACATATATTATAATGATAGCTGATTTAATATATGTTATAGATAATCATAGTAATGCATTTCATATTGTTATCAACCTTAACTTTGTGGCCACACTAATTATGTCTCTCCATATGTGTAGTTTACACAAGTACACATATCAACTGTGGTAACGCCACAGCGATGGGGGCAGTGGGGTAGCCTAGTGGTTAAAGCGTTCGATCGTCAAGCCGAAGACCCAGTTCGATTCCCCACATGGGTACAATGTGTGAAGCCCATTTCTGGTGTTACCCGTGATATTACTGGATTACTGTTAAAAGCGACGTGAAACCATTCTCACTCACTCACTCACTCACTCACTCACTCACAGCGGTGTTTATCAAATTACTATATGCAAGTACATATATTTGTAGATTTGCACAAGACAAGAAACACAATTCAAGTTAAACATACATCAAATGTCAAAAAGAACATTTACGGACAACCTTATGACACACTGTAACATCATATACTACCGAAAACAAGTTATAGAACACAAACAATTATAAGATTGTATTTTTGCAAAACAATCAGCCATGACTAATTAACCATAGTCTTCTTAACTTCTTTTGAAAAGTATATATTTAGATATTAACCTGATTTATTTAGAGCGTATCGCCATGATCTGCCACGCGCTTTCGGCGTCATGGTCACATACAACTGAATAGGGCCGTAAATCAATCAATTACATTTTACGCAAAAATCGGTGGATTGTTTTAAAATCACCTACGTCTGTACAGTTAAATTATGTTTTAAGCATATAGTGAGAAAAGTTCAACATTACCTCCCAATTGCCGCAGATATTACATGCGGCCCCTGTAGTGGTCAAGAGGGGATATTGCTTAACCGCGATAAAGCGAGAAAGCGAGAAAGCGATAGAGCGAGAAAGCGATGTCCCCTCTCGGCCACCATAGAATATTGCTTACAACAAACAAACACAATTAGCCATTTTTGTCTGTTCACTGATATACTGTTTCAGAGGCATTTCTAAGCGTGTGCTTAGCTCAGTTGCATTAGTGATTGCGAGTTCTCCAATATAGGAGTGCTGTCCATTCATGGTGTCAGAGATCATATACCTGTATATGGTCTCTGATGGTGTGTAATTTCACTGTTATTGGAAGTTGGAAGTGCACTGCGACACACTACCTCACTGGTGGACACACACTGTGACACACTACATCACTGATTGGCACACACTGTGACACACTACCTCACTGATGGACATACATTGTGACACACTACCTCACTGATGGAAACACACTGTGACACAAAACCTCACTGATGGACACGCACTGTGACACACTACCTCACTGATGGACATACATTGTGACACACTACCTCACTGATGGAATCACACTGGGACACAAAACCTCACTGGTGGACAAACACTGTGACACACTACCTCACTGATGGACATACATTGTGACACACTACCTCACTGATGGAAACACACTGTGACACAAAACCTCACTGATGGACACGCACTGTGACACACTACCTCACTGATGGACATACATTGTGACACACTACCTCACTGATGGAATCACACTGGGACACAAAACCTCACTGGTGGACAAACACTGTGACACACTACCTCACTGATGGAATCACACTGGGACACAAAACCTCACTGGTGGACGCACTCTGTGACACACCGCACTGAAGGACACACACTGTGATACACTACCTCACTGGTGGACACACACTGTGACACAAAACCTCACTGATGGACACACACTGTGACACAAAACCTCACTAGTGGACAAACACTGTGACACACAACCTCACTAGTGGACATACACCCTGACACACGACCTCACTGGTGGACACACACTGTGACACACGACCTCACTTGTGGAGACACACTATGACACACTACCTCACTGATGGACACACACTCTGTCACACAACATCACTGATGGACACACACTGTGACACAAAACCTCACTGATGGACACACACTGTGACACACAACCTCACTGGTGGACACACACTATGATACACTACCTCACTGATGGACACACACTGTGACACACTACCTCACTGGTGGACACACACTATGACACACAACCTCACTGGTGGACACATACTATGACACACCTTACTGATAGACACACACTGTGACACACAACCTCACTGCTGGGCACATACTGTGACACACAAACTCACTGGTGGACACACACTGTGACACACTACCTCACTGATAGACACATACTGTGACACAC